GGAAGTTTATAGTTATTATTTTAAGTTATTCATGTACTGTGCAATTGAGATGGAGGTTTCAGGTTTGAGTGTGTATCCAGAAAATCTCTCTCTCTCTCTCTCTCTCTCTCTCTCTCTCTCTCTCTCTCTCTCTTTACCCAAGGCTTTGTACATAAACAAGTGTACACATGTATAGGTAAAGAAGAAAGCTATCGTAGGTGTAGGTTCAAAATCCTCTTAGGTATCGTAGTTTATATCAGTTACGTTCGCTTGATCTAATGGAGAGGACAAAAATATACTAAATTACGTTATATTATCCGAATGTAATCATCCTTGTGATAAATATTTGTAAGGTATCGTGTTATCGTCTTTGTTATATAAAGAATATCGGTAACATTTCGATATCGGCTCGTAAATGGTTATCGGGATGAAGTAAATTGTTGGAGTTTTGTTTTATCTTCAAGTTGTTAGTATTTTACGTTATCTTCAGCTAAGATAATAAGGAAGTTAGCTTTTTGTGAGCTTCTGAGGTGTTGATGTCGTGTTTTTTTTGCTATCGTGTTCGTTGCTGTCGTATTCGTTGCTGTCGTGTTCGTTGCTGTCGTGTTCGTTGCTGTCATGTTCTCTGTGTCGTGTTCGCTGTGTCGTGTTCGCTGTGTCGTGTTCGTTGTGTCGTGTGTACTGTATACATGTTATCTGATGGACGTTTGAGTTTATCTATACCTACCCCCACCACTCCCAGGCCCACCTCGTCTCTCCCTCATTAGCGAAAGGTAGAGTCTCAGTGCAATTCCAACGCCATATTGGTTATCAGTTCTACATCGTAAACATAAAGTAGATCATTTAGTAAGAGACGGAGGTGTGGAAATATAACGTAGGAGCCTTTGAGAATCTTCGTATCGTAGTTTAAATAAGTCAGTCGGAGCCTTTGAGAACTAATCCCTCTGTCGTAACTTCAATAACTCAAGTTAGTTTAAGTACTCGTAGGAAAATATAACGTACATTACATACCTCTGAGAAGCGCATCGTTCTATCGTAACTTGAATGGAGTTAATAGGATGATTTATTCTCGTATCTCAAACTACAGGAAGAATTTGACGTAAGAACCTTTGAGAATCTCTGTGTCTCTTGATTAAGTTAGGCGATCAAACACAAATCTTGAGACCCTTCTTTCATCCCTTCTTCATCCACTACCGCCCCTTCTTCATCCACTACCGCCCCTTCTTCACCCACTACCGCCCCTTCTTCACCCACTACCGCCCCCTTCACCCACTTACCCCTCTCCTTCACCCACCATCACCCACCACCACCCTCACCCCTATCAACCAAGGTCTTCTCAAAAAAGATTCATAAGACGAATTTCCTCTGTAACTCGATATACAAGCATCTACATAACCACGTTGACTTAGAAGAGAACTACAAACATGACGTCTAAATATAGAATCAAAATTACACTTGAGATTCGACATTAACCAGATACATTCATTTAACACTGGACCAAAATAGTACAGAAGAGACGTTTGAGTTTTTCTGTTGTTTAATGAAGATAATTAAGTAAATGTATGTAGTTAACTTTTTCGCCTCGTTTTGACGCATTTGACATTTTATTCTGGTTACCGGTAGACGATTTTATTCAGCTCAGGGGAACGTCCCTCTTTGAAAGGGTTTAGGTATAGTGTGTAATTTTGTCTGTCTGTCTGTCTGTCTGTCTGTCTGTCTGTCTGTCTATCTATCTATCATTCTATCTATCTATCTATCTATCTATCTATTTATTTATTTATTTATCTGTCTGTCTGTCTGTCTGTCTGTCTGTCTGTCTGTCTGTCTGTCTGTCTGTCTATCTGTCTGTCTCCATCTATCTATCTATCTATCTATCTATGACGTGGAAATTGTAGTTGGTGCCTCCCAGAGCTTCCTGTACGTCTTGTCCATGTACGTGAATCCGAACCACCAGCAACGTACGTGTTATGTCCGTGAATGAGAACAACATAACATTTTGTTCTTCATGTCGTGTTCGTTGATTCAGCCAGCCTCCAACCGCCCCTTCGTATAACAACAACAATAGCAATAACAACCCTGTGTGTGGGTGGGTGTGTGGGTGTGGGTGGGTGTGTGTGGGTGTGTGGGTGTGGGTGGGTGGGTGGGTGTATCGCTTCTTATCGTGTACAAGATTGACTTAGGTGAGGTAACAATCTTCTCACAACACCTATAATAACAACAAGAGGTTATATGAGCCTTTATATTTACAACTGGTGTGATACAATCGATGAGGAGGGTTGTGAAGGCAGCTTTTAGTCCAGAGGTGTTGTGGGTGAGGCGGTGACCTCCATCATGGCGGTATCAACAAACTATGACGTCATGTGAAAATATGAATAATAATAATAATAATAATCGATTCGTTGTTTACAGTTAGGCTTATCGAATCTGGTATTAGATAATTTGTTTGATTATTATTGTTGTTGTTGTTGTTGTTATATTATTATTATTATTATTGTTATTATTATTATTATTATTATTATTATTATTATTATTATTATTATTATTATTATTATTATTATTATTACTTCTACTACCACAACTTTTAGTGGCCTCCAGCCTCTCCCAATAGCCATACCTTCGCCACCATTTTATTACCTTAAAATTAAATATCCTAATACATAAGTAGCTACCCTAGCTGTGTTGAGTTAGTTGAGCCGCAGATCTATGCGGCATTCAGTGACTGTTGCCTCATAGTCAATATCTTCGACTGTTGTCGGCTCTGGGGCCGTTGCTCTCGTTCCCTTGAGGCAAAGCAATGTAGACCTAAGCAGATAGAAGGACAGTCGACATCTCTACCAGGCTGTAACGTAACTTCTGGGCTGCTGCTTCTGTTCGGAGATCACCTCCGCGAGTCTGGCGTAGAAGCATCTTGCACTTGGTCCCATCCCACCAGAGGTTGTGAACACCAGAGGAGTGAAGCTGCCTTGATCAACGTTCAGAATTCTCTCCCCATACGCCCTGATCTTGTCATTTTCGTTCCTCCTGTGTGCAGCGTCGAGAGCTAGGTTACGGTGACATGCGGCCATGGGATCGAGAATCCTTAGGTCAAAGAAGGCTCGCTGTTCCCGCGTCCAGAATCCTCGAGCACTGACGTCCACACGGGCTTCGTTGGATGTGTTTGAAATCCTGTAACGGAGGTTCTCACCGTCCAATGGAAGAAGGGGCGGTTCTATCCTGACGTCGTGGCAGGTTTCCTTCAACATATTTGCTGGTATATTCCTTACTTCGTCATGCCTCATGTATACGAAGCCCCCTATCTTGCACACCATGGCGTGGTCGATGTCATGAGCCACACACACATTGGGAGGGCAAACCTTCTACTGGCCTACCGTACCTTAGAGAGCATTGACATCTGTTAATTCTTTTTTATTAAGGACGAAGCCTTTTGCCCTTATCGGTAACGTTGTTAACCAGTTTGAGGCGCCCACCTCCTGCGCTATAGCTACCATAGCCACCACCACCACAACTACCACAACTACTACTACCATAACCACAACTACTACTACCACCACATCTACTACTACTACCACAACTACTACCACCACAACTACTACCACCACTACTACTACTACTACTACCACCACAACTACTACTACTACCACCACAACTACTACTACTACCACAACTACTTACCGTCATTATACAAGAAAGACGAGAGCACTAACACCCACCTATAACCAGTTCTATATCATGGGCCAAATATACCTGTTTCTCAATTATACTTTGTGGGTCTAATTATACTCAAGGATGATAGTGGTTGAGCCTGATGGGAAACATTACTTAGGGTATGGAGCTGGTCGTTACTTTTTTGTTAATGTTAATGATGATGCTTTGTGTGTACGTCTGTCTGTGTAACTCTCTCTCTCTCTCTCTCTCTCTCTCTCTCTCTCTCTCTCTCTCTCTCTCTCTCTCTCTCTCTCTCTCTCTCTCTCTCTCTCTCTCTCTCTCTCTCTCTAGGTTAGCGTTAAGGTATTATTATTTACAGTCAATCGGTTTAAGAATATTCTCACAAGCTTCAGTTACGAGGAAATTTTATCGTAAGATCCTTAGAGAATACGTGAGTGAAAAAAAATAAAATATTGATGTGGTTTACGTAATTGATGTTGTTAAATGTTAAGATTGGCATCTAATTACACCAGATATAAGAGAATATAGGAGAGAATATACCTGGTAATATATGCAGAAATATATGAACGGACATATGATCATTAAGGCTCTGGCCAGGTACTCAGAAATCAATTAATTATGCCAGGTATCATATCCAACTCACCTGTCCAGCTCACCTGTACGGGTATAGGTGTTACAATTTTCACCCATCACGCTATTTTTATGTCATGGTTTTCATTATAAACTTACCTGCGGCTAATGAGGTTGGGTGAATTTACTGTTGTCTTGACCAGGTGTGATGATTGATATTACGATACGTATTTAAGGAGTTACAGTGTGGATTGATGAGATGATGGATAGAGAATGGATAGGTAATTTAATTCCATTCATTTGAAGGATCTCTCCCTACACCTTAGCACAGGTGATGTATACTGGAGTCTTAATTAACTCCTCAGGTGAGCATCAGAGCCCAGGTAATTAATTAATATTATGATCTTATTTTCCCCGGATCTTTATATCAACTCTATATCACGTACTCTATAGCCACACTACGACGCACCCTATACGTCTGTGTTACTTGACATCACATAACTCCTCTCTCTCTCTCTCTCTCTCTCTCTCTCTCTCTCTCTCTCGTCTATATGTCTGTAACTTATATAATATATGTTTCATCCCCTCAAAAACAACGTAGGATAACCTCTGTCTTATCACTCTCTCAAACTACTAAGGCAACGAATCCTTACACTGAGACTCGGGAATATATGAACTAAAGTAACCTGAGATAACCCATTTTATATATGTTTTGACTTTCACGTTACTGCTATCTCCATATTTGACTGTAATAATCGCCTTGTATCTCTTGTTTATTTTCTCAGATTACCCAGGGAGCGAGTTCTGCGCTGAGAGCCGAGAGTGTGTGAACTGTGGAGCGGTACAGACTCCCCTCTGGCGACGGGATGCCACGGGACACTACCTCTGTAACGCCTGTGGCCTCTATACTAAGATGAACGGCATCAACAGACCGCTCATCAAGCACTCACGGAGGCTGGTCAGTGCAGGCCTGCCGGTCCAGGTCTGGCTCTCTCTCTCTCTCTCTCTCTCTCTCTCTCTCTCTCTCTCTCTCTCTCTCTCTAACACGTAGTGCTATACTCATCAGCAGGTTATATAACACCTGTCAGTCTGTGATGCCAGTAACGTCGCTGTCTGTTACTCTAAGGAGTTGTAGATCAGTAGGTCCCCGATCTTGTCAGAAGTCCCCAGTCCTAATAGACCCCAGTCCTCCCAGACTAGTCACTCAGACCCCAGTCCTCCCAGACCCCCAGTCCTCCTCGACACTGACCCAGACTGACCTCACACAGCCACCACAGCCGTTTAATTCTCGTGTTAATAAATTCTGTCAAAAAAAAACAAAAACATTAAGTAACATCAACTAAATTCTCTTATAGTTCTTCTTTGTTATTCTTATCTCCCTATTCCTCGTTTATTCTCTCTTTTATGTATTCTTTGTGTACACCTAAGTATTGTAGGCTCTATGTTAATTTACCATGATATATACTTTATTAACTTCTATGTCTTAATGATCATTATTATTATTATTATTATTATTATTATTATTATTATTATTATTATTATTATTATTATTATTATTATTATTATTATTTAGTAACTTAGAATAACAAAAACAACAACAACAATACGATATTAATAACATAATAACAATAACAATACAGAAACAACAACACAACAACAACAACAACAACAACAACAACAGTCCTCACCTGACAACCTCACAACATCAGGTAATAAACATTCCCTACAATACAGAGGTTGAGAGTACAGGTAACCCCACACACACACACACTACCTGGTAAAATAAATCACACGTTATCAATTGAATTATTACCATTTCCCAGCTGTTCTTGATATAGACTACACTACCTAATGATAAGTGAGAAGAGGCTTATGAGGGGGTGAAGAGACGTAATGAGATGTAGGAGTCAATAAATATTTGAAATTGTTACTTATTTTCTCTTCTTGTTAATGTGAGGTACGATTGGTAGATATTTTGTTAGATGGGTAGGTAGATATTTTGTTAGGTAAGGTAGGTAGATATTTTGTTAGGTAAGGTAGGTAGATATTTTGTTAGGTAAGGTAGGTAGATATTTTGTGAAGTAAGGTAGGGTAGGTAGATATTTTGTGAAGTAAGGTAGGGTAGGTAGATATTTTGTAGGTAGGGTAGGTAGATATTTTGTTAGGTAAGGTAGGGTAGGTAGATATTTTGTAGGTAGGATAGGTAGATATTTTGTAAGTAGGATAAGTAGATATTTTGTAAGTAGGATAGGTTGATGGTGATCGTCCCTGAGGTTCCATTATAGGTAGCAAGGTCGGGTTCAAGCGCATGTACCATTAGTTATAGGGTAGCTGATCCTAAAGTCACCATTAATTGACCATTAATTGTCTCTGTTAATGGTCTGTGAACTCTTAAGACACCATTAAGCGTCACTATAAATGGTTAGGGGACTCAAGATACCAATAACGTCACTAGTAATGGTTAAGGAACTCTACACACCATTAAACATCACTATTAATGGCTAGGGAACACTAAAACACCATTAAACGACACTATTGATGACTATTGGGGACTTTTAAAACACCATTAAACTTCAAGGGGACTTTTAAAACACCATTAAACTTCAAGGGGACTTTTAAAACACCATTAAACTTCAAGGGGACTTTTAAAACACCATTATATGCCAGTGTTAATAACCTTTTAAGACCACCCATCCCCATTATCTCTAAATGAAGAACTGACTCCATTCTCAAGGCTATAAATGAAGAACTGACTCCATTCTCAAGGCTATATATGAAGAACTGACTCCATTCTCTCTTTCTCTCTTCCAAACAGGACGGCTTCTCCTTCCAGACATCAGCGAGGAGGATGGGGCTCATGTGTTCTAACTGCGGCACCACCACCACTACTCTCTGGCGACGAAACAACGAAGGTGACCGAACACTCATTTACCCCCCTGTAGTACGCCTCTGTCTAAACCTTCTTCTCTTCGTCTCTTTCTCTTCTCGCGTGTTTCTCTCTCATTCCTTCGTGGTTCTTCGTGTTATTCTCATCTTATTTCGTCCTTCTGTGTTTCTTCTCACTTGTTATCAGTGTTTTTTTGTTTTTGTTTTTTTTTGGTTCTTTCGTATGGTTTTCTGGTGTGATAAAATGGTAGAGAATTGTGTTATTGTTAAATGATAAACTCTCTCTCCCTCCCTCCTCCTCCCTCCCTCCCTCCCTCCCTCCCTCCCTCCCTCCTCTCTCTCTCTCTCTCTCTCTCTCTCTCTCTCTCTCTCTCTCTCTCTCTCTCTCTCTCTCTCTCTCTCTCTCTCTCTCTCTCTCTCTCTCTCTCTCTCTCTCTCTCTCTCTCTCTCTGTTTACCTTTCCCTCCCACTTCCTTTCCCCGTGTTCGTTATTTCCTCTCCCTTCCTCCCTCAGCTGATAAAAACCACATTTCCCCTTTTAATATTCACCTATTACCTCTTCGGCTCCACCTCCCTCCTCCTTGCACCTCCTTAGATTTACTCGGGAAGAAATAATCACCGTAATATAGGATGGTTGACCTTGAATAACCCCCCCCCCCAATGACCTCCTGCCTGGATTTCGTTCATGACCCCGTTGACCCCTTCCTCGTGTCTGGTGCCTGACTGAACCTCACACTAGTTGGGTACTTCAAGGTCATCTTCAGTGTTGTTAAATGAGCGTGACCTAACTGTCAATATCTCAGGTATTGGTCTATTGCTTTGTCTTAAACGAGTTAAAATGAGAGTTAGATGATGGTAATAAAAATATGGTAGTAGTAGTAATAATAGTAGTAATAGTAGTAGTAGTACTAGTAGTAGGTGTGGCTATTGGGGAAGGCTGGAGGCCACGTTGAAAAAAGTAGTAGTAGCAGTAGTATTAATTCCATAGAACCAAAAGTTAAATGACCTCAAATAACCTTTAAAAGTTAAGAAGGTCACCCTCAGTTCACCTTCAGGTCAACAACACTTACGTTAACCAGACCAAAACACTCCTGACCACTGTGTTAGGAGGGCAAGTCACACCTCAACCACGTAGAGTATAAATTACGGAGTCTTGTTTATATATGCGTTCTCTCTCTAAAAATCACGTTTCCTTCTGTTTATTCTAAAAAAAATCGATAAATTACTTACCATTCTGCCTCAAAATTGTCCCCCGTGAGTTATTAGAAGAAATTATTTACTCTCAGTCTAATTTGTGTTAAAAAAAAAAACTCGTTTCATTCGCGTTCTATCCCAGTTTCCTTAGAGTACTAGACCGAGGCCGTAGTTGACCTTGATTGGGTCGTGTCACCAACTAAAGCAGACGCGTCCCTGAGTGATGACGAACCGAGTCAGCTGATCACCACGTCATGACGTTAGCTCATAAACACACACGCGTCAGCTGATCGGTAGTGTTGTGGGGTGATGGGGAGGGGAGGGGAGGGGAGGGGAAGACCACAGTAGTCAGCGCCCTAAGTTGCTATGGGGAGAGGGTTAAGTGTGAGGTTCATGCTCTGAGGTCATGGTCAAGGGGATACGTTCGAACACGTTCCTACAGGGTCACACTTGAGGGTCATACTCGAGGGTCATACTTGAAGGTCTTCTTAGAATGGTCAAGCTGCAGTTAAAACCAGGAAACGCTTGAGAATTATTGGTGTTGAGTAATGATGAACCACTGAGTGAGAGATATCCTCTCTCTCTCTCTCTCCTGCACAGCCCAATCTAACCTAACTTTATCCAATTTAACCTAACCTAATACTCTTACTATACTCAATCTAACCTAACCTACTCAAGTCTATCCTAATCTAACCTAGACGCGAGATAGGTAAACATTGGTTAGGAAACAGAGTAATGGATGAATGGAACAAGTTACCAAACATCATCATTAACTCGAATACGCTGGATAGCTTCAAACATAGGTTGGATGGATATATGAGCGATAGGGGTTGGGTGTAAATGGGACTGCCCAATATGTACTAATGGGCCCGCTGTGGTTTCCTCCGTTCTTATGTTCTAATTACCTCTTACCTGTAGGTGTGGTTAAGTGCTGGAAGTCACTCTCCGGATCAGGCTCACCTTATTTCGGTCACCCTATACCTTGAGACTCCTCCTCCTCCTCCTCCTCCTCCTCCTCCTTGATGCTATTGAGGGAGGAGGGGGGGGGGGCGGGGGGTAGAGGAGATGTTATTCCCGCATGCGGTCCCCCACACCACTGACCCAACTACCTCTCTTCAATCTCATGCGGCTCCACAATGACACATGTTCCTCCCTCCTGCAGGCGAGCCAGTGTGCAACGCATGCGGCCTCTACTACAAGCTTCACGGCATCAATCGACCGATACAGATGCGGAAGGATTCCATTCAGAGCCGCAAGCGGAAACCCAAGAACAAGAAGACAGAGGAAGGAGATGACAAGGAGAAGGAGAAGAAGACACAAGGTGAGAGAGAGAGTCGAGGAAGAAGGAAGAGGGGGAGGGAAGGTGGGAGGGCAGAAGGGAGAGAAGGAAAGGGGGAGAGAATAAAAAAGGGAATAAGAATGGGAATGAAGGAAGAAGGAAGGAGAGAAGAAGCGTATATAGGTTCCAGTAACTGATATATGTAGGCTATAGTCTGTGACATAGATAATTAATAAAACATGACCGTCAAAAAAAAAAAATTACCTCGACGTAATCCATAATTTCCCTGGAATTTGAATCTCTATTTCCTTTGATTCCAGATGAGAAGTCGACGAAGGAACCTGAGCGACGCCCTGCCGACCCCGCCACCCCAGTAATCCCCAAGCCTCCCCAGCAGCCACCCCAGCAGCAACAACAACACCACCAACAGCAACCCCCACAAGCCCCCCAACCTCAGCCGCAGCCTAACCAAACAGCGGCTATCCCCAGCACCAGCAGCCAAACGAACGTGAAGATCAAGCAGGAGGCCCCACATTCTACGTCATTCTCAGCGTTGCCCAGCCCACCCTCAAGCCTCATGACTCCGCCCGTCACACCGAGCCTTAACTGTACCTCCACCAATGGCATGTTTGGCCCTTACACATCCAGCCCCTCCAACTTTACCAAATTAATGATAAGCTAGGAAACACCTCACTTATCCACCGGAGAGAGAGAGAGAGAGAGAGAGAGGAGTAACTGGGAGACCATCACCAACTTGCGGGGGTAGTTCGAAGGGCTGTGGACGTAGAGACTGTCGGAGTTCTTTTGTTGTTGTTTTTATTGAAGGAGCCAAAACTAGATGACTCAGAGCGTATAGGAAGGAAGCACTAGGACTTGGCGTGTATAGGAAGGAAGAACTGGGACTTGGCGTGTATAGGAAGGAAGAATTGGGACTTGGCGTGTATAGGAAGGAAGAACTAGGACTTGGCGTGTATAGGAAGGAAGAACTGGGACTTGGCGTGTATAGGAAGGAAGAACTGGGACTTGGCGTGTATAGGAAGGAAGAACTAGGACTGGCGGTATAGGAAGGAAGAACTGGGACTTATGTATAGGAAGGAAGAACTGGGACTTGGCGTGTATAGAAGGAAGAACGGGACTTATGTATAGGAAGGAAGAACTGGACTTGGTGTATAGGAAGGAAGCACTAGACTTGGCGTGTATAGAAGGAAGAACTAGGACTTGGCGTGTATAGGAAGGAAGAACTGGGGACTTGGCGTGTATAGGAAGGAAGAACTAGGACTTGGCGTGTATAGAAGGAAGAACTGGGACTTGGCGTGTATAGAAGGAAGAACTGGGACTTGGCGTATAGAAGGAAGAACTAGACTTGGCGTGTATAGGAAGGAAGAACTGGGACTTATGTGTATAGGAAGGAAGAACTGGGACTTGGCGTGTATAGGAAAGAAGAACTAGGGACTTGGCGTGTATAGGAAGGAAGAACTGACTTGGCGTGTATAGGAAGGAAGAACTGGGACTTTCGGCGGTATAGGAAGGAAGAACTGGGACTTGGCGTGTATAGGAAGGAAGAACTGGACTTGGCGTGTATAGGAAGGAAGAACTGGACCGGCGTGTATAGGAAGGAAGCACTAGGACTTGGCGTGTATAGGAAGGAAGAACTGGGACTTGGCGTGTATAGGAAGGAAGAATTGGGACTTGGCGTGTATAGGAAGGAAGAACTAGGACTTGGCGTGTATAGGAAGGAAGAACTGGGACTTGGCGTGTATAGGAAGGAAGAACTGGGACTTGGCGTGTATAGGAAGGAAGAACTAGGACTTGGCGTGTATAGGAAGGAAGAACTAGGACTTGGCGTGTATAGGAAGGAAGAACTGGCACTTGGCGTGTATAGGAAGGAAGAACTAGGACTTGGCGTGTATAGGAAGGAAGCACTAGGACTTGGCGTGTATAGGAAGGAAGAACTAGGACTTGGCGTGTATAGGAAGGAAGAACTAGGACTTGGCGACTCAAAACTCAAGAATATTAAATGAAAGATAAGACTAAATTAACTGCACCATCAACCTCGTATTAAAATCGTAAGGTAGAATAAGATAAATACCTTAAAATTACCTTAACATGTAGTACGAGTTTGGGTACGATCACAATGCCATCTACACGCCACAACATAGAGTCAGTCGATTGGATTTAGGTCTCACAGCTTTACATTCTGGAGGGCAGTGCTGTGAGGGACGGTGACGTAAGGTGATGTGCAGTGCCTGGTCTGTGTTGACTAAATTACTGGATCCGAATTATCAAAGGTTCGTACGTTAAATCTGTTCTCTGTATGATAAGAGTGAACGCTAGGTACGGTTGAATCTCGGCACAGTGTAGAATTTATTTTGGTCGTTATCTATAAAGGGGTGAAGAGATAAGGTGATTTAGTATAACAGTTTAAGTATTAATGGGGAAGATTATCGTAAGATCAATAGAAAATCCTCCCTCAATGGAGATCACGGAGGAAGATTTGCTTTAGGAGGAATATTATATCATGGTATGCAATTTAATGACGGATGCTAAGTTTTGATTATAATACATCGATATTCCCAAGAGAAAAGTTTATATTTTTAAGAAGATGGCATGAGGTATAAGGTCGGGTCCTAGTACACTATTACCGCCAGTCTTAGTGTATGGTGGGGGACTGATAAAGACTTGAGGAGTCTTATATTTACCTATCCCCCCCCCTCCCCCCTCTCCCCCTGGGTCTTTAATCTTTGTTTTGCTCTGTGACTAAGCCTTCTTCTATGGTCTCTTTTTTAAAGCCCCGCGAAAGATCTGGTCAGAGAAGCCATCAAAGTGTGGGAAACTGTTTAAATTTTTTTTCTCCACAGTTTGGCTCATCGTTCGTGACCGATTTAATCTTTCCTTGAAAATTTTGGCGGGGAATTATATAATGAGAATATGACGTCTCAGGCTGCAAAATAATCGTGTGAAATATAATATGTTTACTCTAAATGATTTATCGGGCAAAGGGATTAATGAATAGACACATTTCATCCTATATATATATTACCTGTATATTAATAGGAAGAAAAACTGTTTGACGATAATAATAAATATTTGTACTGTTCGTATCTCCTCTGCTTATTTATTTTCTCTTTGAACTTTCTCTCATTAGAAAGTTTCCCAGTAAGAGACTTAAAAAAAAAAAGGATGGCACAAGAAAGTACTGTTTAAGTAAGGCTTTATCACGCTTTCTTGAAGGTAGTTGTTGTTGTACACTAATATGTTCTCTGTAACGACAAATCGGAGTCAGTCTGATATACACACACTTGGTCCATGGCGACTGATGCCTCCTCCTCCTCCACCCAACGATAAACCAATAACTCTCATTAAATTCTAGTGTTTCAACGTTCAAAACCCTGTTAGAGTTTGTTACTTTTCTTTTAAATGTAGATACACACCCAAACGACGGTTAACTGTGAGTATTAAAAAATAAATAAAGTTTGTGGGGTTTTTTATTATAAATTAAGTTTTAAATATCAAGGATTGTTTATTAAGTGACTGTGGCGGCAACTGGGTGAGAGAGAGAAGAGGGCGAGGCTAAAATTACATCTTGAAAACTATTTACTAATGCCAGTGTAACTAATTATGTTGTCTTTCGAAGAGTCACAATTACGAGAAAAAATTAATAAATAATTATATTCACAGTATGGGATGGTTAACCTCACAGGGGTGTAAACAATAACATAACAGCAAAACAAATGAAGGTACATTTACCAGGGATTGTTGATATAATAGACAGTAGACATTTAAATGATTCTGCCATCTTCACTATAACATCTCACTCCTAGAATTAAAACAATATTAACTTTCTTAAATCGAGTGAAACTGACAATATAAAACCTCCAGCTTTATATACGAATGTTAAAATAATCTAACCCGGCGCCTCCTGGACCTGGCGTGTGTGTAGCAGCTGGACATCGTTAATGTAAATATACTCTTCTCCAGTATACAGATAACAACGTTTTTTCTCTTTTTTTTTTATTTTTCGTGGTGTAGGTAAACCGCTTAATATGTGAATGACTGTGTGATACTTGTAAACCTCGTAGACTGTCTGGGGGTTGGACACATATGCTTTCTAGTTGCTGATTGGTTGTAACTTTTCGGATCTCGTCCAATCATAACCCAGAATTGAATAAATGTTAATTATAAATCCAAAAATAAATGGATTAAATATATATATCTTTAAATTCAATTAACCAATCAGCGCCTAGTAATATGATGATGACGTAACGCCCCAACGGGTAACATAACCAATTAGCATTTAGGATTCATATAAGTGACATGGCGTTGACCAATGATTATCGCGCATTACGCCGACAGATAATAGAATAAATCAATGGGTGTGGAGGATGTCGCCTTGTACACATAGAGCATAAGTGTTGATGTCAAGACGTACATAGACTTTTGTCATTGTCCACACACACACACACACATACACACACACACACACACACACACTTTGTACTAATGTGTTACAAAGTTTCTATAAATACTTATTCTATTTCTGAATAGCTTATAGTTTTAACTAGGATTTATCTGTGAATTCTATGTTGTTGATAAAGGAGTCTGATTCACTAAGGTTCTTAAGACAAGTATTTCTCCTAAGTCAAAATGCAAGAATTAACTTAACTGCTTCACTGAGGTTCAAAAATATAACAATATCCAGAAAGTAACATAAATACACTATATTGAGATTGTACCTTAACTAGGAGGGGGTGAGTTAGGAGACAGACTTAAAGGTTTACAGAGTTTCGGGTTAAGGAATTCTGTAACTTGATTTTGTCTGGTGCTAAATGAATCTCTGTGTAGTTAAGGTAGAGTCAGTATAATTTTGTTTCCTAACTGGAATTAAATGTCTGTCTCTAGTTAAGGTATTGAGTCTCGGTGTATTATTGATGTTGTTTATTTGGTTTTAATTGGTTTGTTTGCGCTGAAGTCAACCAATCAGAGATCCATTCTTACATAATCACTGATGAGGAATTTTCTTCGTAAAAAACGTTGGAGAATTCAGACTCTGATTTATATATGCTTATGTATAATTGCAATATAATAATAATAATCATAATAATAATAATAATAATAATAATAATAATAATAATAATTAACTAAAGGCCTTTTAGTTCCATCATGTAAAGCTTTACAGCCTCTGAAGAGATGAGGTGAATAAATCTGTTCAGTGCATCTCTTTGTTATTTACATCCTGTGGTTATTTTAGTATAGTTATCCTAACGAACATCCGAGTGTTTTAGTATATCCTGTGTATTTAATTAAGTTTATCCCGTGTATTATTGTGGTCCTGCTCACAAGGGTCGGGCTCAGCTATCGCCCCCCCCCCCCCCTGGTCCTTCCTCAGCTGACAGATAACACGAGGAAATAAATCAAGCAGTAAGCCTCCCTCTTATACAGTGGTGATGAACACGACAACTGGGAATTTTGGGTCACAGAATGACTATATACCTCCGTGTGGCGACCTCACAGATGGCCTCCCTGGGATGACCTCTAAGATGGCCTCCCTGGGATGACCTCACAGATGGCCTCCCTGGGATGACCTCACAGATGGCCTCCCTGGGATGACCTCACAGATGGCCTCCCTGGGATGACCTCACAGATGGCCTCCCTGGGATGACCTCAGATGGCCTAGGTTTCATGTGGTGCCCTCACATGGGGAGGGTGACCCGAGACACCAAGGTGTGTGTGTGTGTGTGTGCGTTTAACCGGGTCGTGCATGTGTTTGCTTGTTTGTGACTGTGTCTGTGAGTGTACACAACTTTATACTATACAAGAATAAGGCCACAAACACGTATATAATATTTGTATTATTATTTTCGTCTGTTGTCATATAGATAACCATAACAACCTATTGATAGTCGAAACACATCGTTCATAAACCCCGCCCCCACTGTGACGTCATTACCAGGACCACAAGATATGAAACATTCCGAACTGAATCA